CCGGCGCGGCGCGGCTCCTTATAGAGAAAGAAAGAAAAGTTTTTATTATAGGCAACAAAGATTATACCAAGAAATAATAACTAACATAATAAAAATTGCACATAACTAAGAAATTAAATTAAACTGAAGTTACCATTTAATTTGGATAATCTAGTGATGCCCACACTTAGGCAATGCCTGTATCGTGGGCACCGATTTTCTTTACTAGAATTTGGAACATATATTTTTTTCAACGTTTCAAACATTTGTCTGGTTCAAATTATGCCTGTACTTATAAAAGCGTTCAAGATAACCCGCTAACGCAATTGTCATAATGCAAACACAAACTGTCGACAGTGAACCAAAAGAGTCCATCTGGCTACTGTCCTACTGTACTGGCATAATGTAAACCAGTTATAATATTTTTTAGATTCGGGCATGTATTCATGGCGGAGACCGGTACATCTGTGGGTGAGATCAGCGGACAATCGAAGCCGATCAATTCGGTAGACTTCAGACCAGCGCGTCCCTTCCGCATAGTGACAGCCTCTGAGGATAACACTATTGCTGTATTTGAAGGTCCTCCCTTCAAATTCAAGTGCACTAAACAGGTAAGTTTGAGATGTTTTGGTTACAATGAGTTTTAACAGTAAAACACTTTATTTACTGTTTTTTTTTAAATTAATGGTATAAATGTAAATACAGCCAATCATATTCTATACGGAATTAAAAAAAAACCTTGTTTTTTTTACGCATGTATTGACACGAAAATTTGCTAGAAATTACAACGGCAAATGTTTTACAAATTTTAACATACTTTGTCGATATAATTACGAAATACTTTCTGGCACAATTTTCGTGCTATTTTTTTATATCATAAGGTAGTAAACAAGCGAGCGGTCACCTGAAATCGCTGAAATAGCGAAGTGACCGTTGCCCATAGACATACGTAATTTCATATGCGTCGCCTACCTTTAATCGACGGAGGAGAGGATGCACAGAAAGATAATATTTTCCCTTCCCATGCATCCTCTCATCCGGAAAGTCCACTACCACTTCCCATCCTTTCCTTATAAGCAAAAGGATGGGAAGGGAAAGAGGACTAAATTAGGCCTCCGGGACTCACACTCATCAGACAAAACGTGGAATTGCTTCCACTTCACGCCTGTCTGTATGCCCTTTGATTGAGAGATTTCAATGCCGTAAAACTTATTTTAAAGCATATTTATATCCTATTTTTTTCTAAGATAATAAAAGCTATCATTCTTCTGTCGAATTAGACTTTTATTTTATTTATTTATGATACACCAACGGGTAAGTAATAAGACAAGCGAAAAAAAACTTATACTTAAACCTAAACTTACTTACAGAAACAGAAAACACATAATGACTTATCACAATTAAAGGTGTACACATCATGCGAGACTAATGATGAAACAGACAAACGACAACACAAAAACCTAAATATACATAAACAAAAAATACTGAAATTAAAACAACAAAAAGTAAAAAAGATAAAGAAAGAAAAAAGAGGACATGAATTAAATTAATTCGTAACATTACGGATATATTTTTTAAAAGAAGATATTTTAATTGTGTTTGTTTCCAGGAGCACACTCGTTTCGCGCAAGCGGTGCGCTACAGTCCTGACGGCGGGCTGTTTGCCTCCGCCGGCTTTGATGGCAAGATATATCTATATGATGGTGCTACTTCCGAACTTAAAGGAGAGGTAAATACTAACTATCGCCCGCGACTCCGTCCTCGCGAAATTATATATAAAAAAATTAGACTATGTATTATGTCTATGCCAAATTTCATTAAGTTCTATATACCTGTTCTGGAGATATCTTCAAAACAAACATTTATCTATACATTCAAACATTCTCATTTATAATATTAGTAAGATTTAACAGTGGTAGAAAGACTCGACGGTTAAGTACTACGACCACATAGAACACGCCTCAAGTGGAAGCAATTCTGCGTACAGACTGATGAGGATTGTCAGACGACTGATTTTACTTTATTTTTCTTCCCATCCTTTTCTTATAAAGATGCCTTCCCATCTTGAAGATGGTTTTGTGCGGGGAGGCAACGCATAGGATGACATATTCTCTTTATTCCTAAGCAACGCATTTGTAAGTCTATTCAGCAAATTCAAATACAAAAAAAATCTGTCCTATTTTTTTTATATATAAATAGTTGAAAGTGACTGAAAACTGTAATGTAGTATTTTTTCCACAGATCGGGTCACACAAGGGCGGCGTGTACGGTATCTCGTGGTCTCCGGACGGCAAGCAGCTGCTGTCCTGTTCCGGAGACAAGACGTGCGCCGTGTGGGACATCGACACCATGCAGCGCTCCATCACATTCAACATGGGCAATGCTGTTGAGAATCAACAGGTTAGGTTTTTTTGTTGACAAACGAGTAATAAAAAATAAATGTCCATTTTACACTATTCCAGTAATACCGCGCTGGATTGGATCACTGGAATAATGTAAATTGTCTTTATTATAAATAGTTACCTAGAATATGGTTATTGGTCAGAGGATGCATGGAAAAAGGATATTTCCCCGTCAAAAACACCCTCTCCCCAGTCATAATCACACCTCCTCTGTCACTAACACCATTCCCCTGTCACTGACACCCCTTCCCCTGTCACAAACACTAGACAGATGATATTAAATGGATTGTGAAAATTTCTTTTGAGACATTTTTCTTCAGTAAAATTATTTAAAGTTGGAAGAACTGGTCTGTTGCCATTGTTTAATTGTCCTACTTACTTATTAAATCTCATTAAATATTTTAAGTACAAATATAATAATAATCTCCTCAGGTATCGTGTCTATGGCTAGGGAAGCATCTGATCTCAGTATCCCTGTCCGGAGTGATCAACTACCTGGACATGGAGAACCCGGACAAGCCGTTGCGTGTGCTGATGGGACACAACAAGCCCATCACCTGCCTCGCCCTGGAGCCCACCACGAAGACTGTCTACACCGCCAGCCATGATGGATGTGTTACATCCTGGAATACTTCTACAGGTTTCCACAATATTACTAGCTGTCGCCTGTGATTTCGTCCGATACTTAAAAAAAGACTCCAGATTTTTTTTAAATATTAGTAGATTTTTTTGTTAATTTACTAATATTTCTCGTAACATTCCAACTAAGCTTAATACTTGTGCTAGGACATGGTTTACAATAGTCGAATGGCGGGATTCGAACCAACGACCTCATGATCGGAAATCCATACACTCAACCATTAGGCTATTGACGCTTCATAAACGTTTTACATTTATGGCAAATTTCATAGAGATGTGTTAAGCCGTTCAGGAGATACCTTCTAGCAAACATCTATCAATTCGCATTTATAATATTAGTAAAATTTGTGTATTAAACTATGGGTTTCTGAACATTTATCAGGTGAAGGTCGTCACATCGGAGGTACAGGTCATGGTAATCAGGTGAACGGCATGAGTGTGGGCAAGAACGGCAGTCTGCTCACATGCGGTATCGATGACTCCCTGCGCTTAGCTGTGCCAGCTAATGAGGGTAACTTTGTGACTCTATATACCTTGCATAGTACATAATAGCAACACAATTATTTACCGAGAATATAAAGAGAACAATCGATTAATAATTACGCACTTTTGTACGTATTATGTACGTATTACGCACTGTTATATATACTTCTTCTACTAACCTTTTTGCTACCTATACACAAAATCTTGATGAGTAGACATAAGATTAAGCTCATCATAATTATAATTAATACTGGCAGGCAGTCTCACTCCAGCCTTCGGAAGAGAAGGTTGCTTTTCCTTTACTAAATCATTACTGTGTTTTTACTAAATCATTACTGTCATTTGTGAAACAAAACCTTGCTAAATCTCTATAATTAAATGTTAATTTAAAGGGTTTCATTTTTTTAAAACCCAAATTCACTATTCCGTATAACAGCACGTATTACATACGTAAAATATGAAAAATAGAGTTGAATAAATTTGCTTTTTATAATTGAATGCAGTACATCCATGGTTATCCGACATGACCATTCTTTTTTATTTTATGCTCCACAAATTGATTAAATTAAAGTTATTACTACTTATGCCTAAGTTTTGATATTTTCAATAGATTTATGTATAATTATTTTTTAAAATAAAGTTTTTTTTTTTAGTTTTATAGTAAAAATGTAGTGTTCATTTTACTATTTAAGGTGTGTAATTTATTGGATTCTAAGGTCTTTTGTAAAATAGTCCGGGACTATAGGGGGTGTTTGGACACTATAACAAGACAAATTAGATAATTCGATACAGCCCTTCTGTATATAGCAATCGGTCACATGATTTTTCAATTAATCAAGTTTTTTCCAAGTGACATTTCACATATACAGCGTGTCCCAAAATTCCACGATAAAACTGTTATGGCCTATAGCCAGATCAATAACTACATGGGGGAAAATACTATAATACTATTTACTAAGGTAAATACTATGTTCTAGGTACTAGGTACTAGTTATGTTACTAAGGTAGGTAGTAAAAAAAAATGAAGGAATATGTTCATATTTGTAGCCACAGTGTCTAATCATATGGTGGAGGGTATCAAATTATAAGAAAAGTTACAAAAGTTAATGTAACTTTAAAACAAAAAGAGTTAAATTTTTTAGTATTTTTCCCCGTGTAGTTATCGATCTGGCTATACTAATACCGTTTTATCGTTGAATTTTGGTACACGCTGTATATAAAAACCCCATCACCCCTAACTTATGGTAGGCTCCGTGCCCTTCAGTGGGGAGGTATAGTGAGCTGATGATGATGATGATGATATGATGTTTGTATGTAGGTGAGGCTCCCACATACACTGAGAGCGTGGTGACGCTGGGCTCTCAGCCTCGTGCTATGGACCACGTCATAGAGGATGACCTGACTGTTGTCGTTACTGTTAAAGAGGTAAACTTTATGCTTAATTCTCTATGGTTCTATGTTACTACCACTTTCTACTACTAATACAAAAAATACAGAATCTTATTTATATTTGTGCACTAGTAGAGATGGAATTATTAAGATTATTAACTAACTGTCGCCCGCGATTCTGTCCGCAAAAAATAAAAATAAAATAATTAGTTACACTATGTGTTCTTCCAGATTATGTTCTACATCTATGGCAAATTTTAGCGTGATCCGTTTAGCCGTATTAAAGATATGTATGTAGTAAGAAACATCCATCCATTTAAACTTTCGCATTTATAATATGAGTAAGAAGTAAAGTGTGGTATCCTACATTGTTTATAACTTGAATAATGTTTTTTGTATGTAAGTTCTCTTGTGATTAATTAAGCTAAGTGACAACTGATTTTTTTTGAGTGAAGTGTCATTTGACCTATATTGATTTCAGTCTTTTTTTTTGTTTTTTTTTTTAATAAATAATTAATATAATATTGTGTTAACTTAAAAACTGTCTCTCAAATTTGCTAACCACCTTACTGACGCGCACCCACAGACTAACTAGTCGTTAAGCGTTGCGTCGTACCGTTGAAAAGAATCATAACATCCCCGACCAATGGCAAGAGCGTACCAATGATGCCACCTCTTTTGTAGATAAAATCCTACCGTTCTGCCACCCGTACGGTGTTACCATTTAATAATTGTTTATATTTGTTACAGTTAATAGTGTTGATGGGCAACACCAAGCAATCTACTTTGCCGGTGAGCTACGAGCCGACTTGCGTCGCTATTGACCCCAAATTGAAGCATATCGCTGTTGGAGGTGAGAAATACATATTATCTTATTAGTAATATAAAAAACCGTTAGTGATAAGATATAAATTGGAAGTTTTTGATTGTTCCGGTAGGTGGCGCTAAATTTATACACAGTGCCATCTAACTACCGGAATAGAAACAGAGTTAAATGGAGATAAATAAGGCCTTTTGCTCACTATGTCAACATAATCATGAGTAACAGTGGTACTAAATACATAAATATAGAGAAAAATATATTTTATAATTTATTTTTAAACATAGTACAAAGTTTGTGGACTGTAGTCATAGTGACAACGTCCATCAAACTTCGCGCAAAAAAAGCTATAATTAGTTATTTTTTCTAACATATAACAAAAAAAAAATACAGTTTTTCTATAATTCTATAAATTTTTCAATTCAAGTTAATTAACCCTTATTGTAGCAAGATTTCTTTTTTGAAGAAAAGCAAAAAAAAACTTCTAGAAATGTCATGTGTTTAATAAAACTAAGTTAAAAATGATTTTATAGTGATCGTATCTTTATATATATATAATTCTTGTGTGAGTGTGTATGTTACTGAACTTCTCTCAAACGACTGGACCGATTTTGATGAAACTTTAAAATCTGGGAATGGTTTAGATTTACAATTTTGTCCGCTGGACAATATTTTTTTAATTGATTTTTAATTTATTAGTAGTTGTTGATTTTGGAATGTTTTACATTGGATCCGACAGACGGCGCTACCATCGCAGTGTCAAATTTTAAATAATATTCGAATTTTCAAATTAAAGACGTGTAGACAGGACAACGTCTGTCGGGTCCGCTAGTATTTTTATAAAGTTGAATTTATGGTATACAAAATGAATGTGAAATGTAGTTTTGTCGTTGAATCGTGGTATATTAAAATGTTTGTGTGCAGGTGGGAACAGCAGAGTGCACATCTACTCGCTGGACAAGAGGTCGCTGCTGCCGCGCTCCGAGCTGACACACCTCGGCACTGTCACCAGCCTCGCCTACAGCCCCAACTCCAGATACCTCGTCGCTGCTGACGCTAACAGAAAACTTATACTATACGATGTTGAAGGATATACTGTATGTACTTTTACATATTAGTTAGAATTCTTTGTCGCGATGGCGCGCTTTTGTTATCAAGTCAAGTGTCAGAATGATTACATTGACGTTTTAGTAAGACTAATGTTGTGCCAGTACACCGGCACAGTGCCGTATTTTCTTCCTAACAATATTAGCATGAGCAGTTCTACTGTTCAAGTTGTTTATAGGCGTCGTTTACTTTAGTGTTATCGCCGTTCTTTTGTCCCCCTTCTCTTATATAAAAAAAATCAGAAGAATTGTCAGAATAAGTAACCGTGGGTTTCCACTGACATGAGAATTGTATTAGAATTGTACTGCATCGTGGCTGTATTGTTCCAGTTGGCACACAACAAGGAGTGGGGCTTCCACACGGCGCGTGTCAACTGCGTGGCGTGGTCGCCGGACTCTAAGCGCGTGGCGTCCGGCTCTCTGGACACCAGCGTCATCATATGGAGCGTGGATACACCCGCCAAGCATACCGTCATCAAAAGTAACATAATATATTATAATTCTATCCTTTTCCTACTTAGGGAACATACCCATACTACGTGACCTAGTTTTTTCTAAGTTTTTTTTTTAAGGCTGCATGGATACTTATATTACTATTGAATTATGTATTATGAAAAAGAACAACTAATAGCTACATGACAAAAACCTGACGATGAAGCAATTTCAATGTTCAATATAGACAGGCGTGAAGTGGAAGCAATTCTGCGTTTCGTCTGATGAGTGTGCGTCCCGGAGGCCTAATTTAGTACTCTTTCCCTTCCCACCCTTTTTCTTATAAGGAAAGGATGGGAAGTGAAAGTGGACTTTCCGGATGAGAGGATGCATGGAAAGAGAAAGTACATTCTTTGCATCCTCTCCTCCGTGGATTAAAGGTAGGCAACGCATATGCAATTGCGTATGTCTATGAGCAACGGTCACTTCGCTATTTCAGCTATTTCATGATAAAATAAAAAAAAATATGCAAAATTGTAAAACAGTTTTATGTTTAAAATTTGTTTTCCTGTAATGTTTTTGACAATATTTCAATTTTGACTTTGGACAAAGTATTCTGCTACTTAACCATTTTTCTGGTTTAACTTTCAGATGCCCATCCTCAAAGTCAGATCACAGGTCTGGCCTGGTTAGACGACGAGTCCGTGGTCTCCGTGGGGCAAGACGGCAACACTCGCGTCTGGAACGTGCCCAAGGCCTAGGCCCAGGCAGAGGCGAGACCTAGGCCCGACAGAGGCAAGACCTAGGCCCGGTCCGAGGTAATAGGCCCGGCTGTCGCTCCGCTGGGAACATTCTCTGTCAAGATACCTTTCTAAAAGGTTTTACGTCTCATGAAGTCAATAATATTTTGTAAGCTTTTATTTAAAAGTATTAAAACAATGCAATTAATTAAATTACAATGAATTATATGTTTAATAGTTTACACTGACAGATGTCAGCTAGCTGTCAAATTTGACAAAATGGCGCGCTTTGACAGTTGACAGTTGTCAATGTTCCCAGTGGTAAGTAAATTATTAATTGATAATTGTAACTCAGAGAATTTTATTATCTACTATTAAGATACTAACGTATTTATTTTTTTTTCGCTTAATTTAAGCCGTAAAGTGTTTGATGCTCAGTTTGTTACGTAACATTGTTACTAACGAGTCACTAAAACTGCATTTTTTTTATATTTTAATAAACGTAATATAATTTTTTTTTATACTTTTTAATAGACTGACTTGGGTACTATGATTACTTATGCAAAATAGTTTTTTTTAATGTGCTTTGAAATATAAAAATATTAGTTTTTATACTCAAGTTAGTCGATTTGATATTTTTTAATAATTAATATTAGAAAGTCAAAGATTTCAGCTTTATATTGGAGATTGCTTATCTATTATTGGGTTGCCAGTGTATTTTTTTTTTAAATAATCTTATTTCAAACTGGTAACCCTGGTTAGGGAACGTACCCATACTACGTGACCCGTTTAGGAGTCTGGGAAGTCCCCCTGAAGTCCCCCTGAGCCCCCCCCCCGAGGGGGGGGGCTCAGATTTTAGTCACGTAGTCGTTAGTTGTTTTTTTCATAATACATAATTCACTATCAAATCAAAATGATTAAAAATCATAATGATGAATTACTACGTAAAAACTAAAGGGGGGGGGGGGTCTTGGCATGTACTACGAGTGGTCAACGAGGGGAGGGAGGGGTTGAAAAACTAAAAGATAGGTCACGTAGTATGGGTATGTTCCTTTACATAGACTTGATTTTAAATTTGCTACATATGATCGTATTAAAATGCAGTTCCTAATATTGTTTGTTTACTATAGCATTTTCTCTCTAGATTTTTTTTTATACCTGGCAACGTTTGAATGATCTTTTATCTATTTCCAATTGTTCTCACTAAATTTTATACTTATTTTAGCCTGTTCGTGTATTTATCAAGAGCGTAAGAAATGTTCAACAGTATTTTTGTACTATCCAATTTTGTGATGAATTTTTCTGTCGATTTTTTTAATATGTAATTTCTACTAAAACGAAGTAATGATAAATAAATTGTGTACACTTGTACATCGTGTTTTATTTTTCTATATAAATACTGTTTAACCCTTTCATGGCCACGGTCTTCTATACGAGACAATCATCATCAGCTCACTATACGTCCCCACCGAGGTGCTCGGAGCCTACCCTAAGTTAAGGGTGATTAGGCCATAGTCAATCACGCTAGCCAAGTGCGGGTTGGTTGACTTCACACATATCTTTGAATTTACTCTCAGATATGTGCAGCATCAAGATGTTTTCCTTCACCGTATGAACGTCGGATAAATGTACATTTGTAAATCGGAAATGGAAAAACACATTGGTACATGGCGGGATTCGAACGCAGGACCTGCAGATTGCAAGTCGAGTGCTTGACCCCTGAGCCACCGCTCTAAAGATCTTCTATACAAGACCAAAACCATGTCTTAACAAAACGTGAAAAACACATAATAATTAACGTATTTTGTTCATTATAATTATCAAACTTAAAAGTTTATGGTCTGAAATATATAAAAACATTAAAAAAAAGTTAATTACAGCATGTGATTATCGTAAAATATTTAAATAGAAATATCTTATACTAGCTGTCGCCTGTGACTCTCTCCGCGCGAAAGAAATAAAAACTCATGAGTAGCCTATGTGTTCTTCCAGACTATGTTCTATATATATGTCAAATTTCAGCGAGTTCCGTTGAGCCGTTCCAGAGATACATTTAAACAAACATCCAGCCATCTAAACATTCGCATTTATAATATTAGTAAGATTAAAATAAAAAAAATAGAGTTAACGCTGCTCGTTTGCCCCCTTCTGTTATATAAAAAAAAGTTACTTTTGAGGTGTCTCGGGGAAATTTTAAGAAATAAATAAATTCAGTAGATATGCTTATTTTATTCTTAATTAAATTGTCTTTTATAATGTCTTTTCTAAAATTAATATAACAGATTACATAACGTAGTATATAATATTTTAAAACAATCACAATAGTTGACTAGAAAACATTAAAAATGTATAAAAAAACGTTTAAAGTATTATTTAAAATTGTCTTTTAATAAGAAGTTTTTTTTTATAAATTATTAATTGTTGGTTTCTGACATCAAAATCTCTGTAGAAAACATATCATCTCTTCATTATCTTTGACAAAACATGTTTGGTCTCAGAAACCCACAGTTGATATGTATAGGACAGAACAAAACATTTATTAAAATTATTTTTAAAATGCATCTTAAAACTTAGTAACCCAAAATCTTTATCTAGACTTTTTTGCCGCGATGGTGAATTTAAATTTTTAATCAATATTTCATTAGAAAAATAACATATGGACGGAATTTAATGTAGAGTTCAGGAAACAAGTAAGAAATGCCAAAATAATGTTATATTACGTTTAAATAATTAAAAAAACTTTTATCGTCTTAACATTACGCAAAACAAGGTTCAATTTCGTCAATAAATTAAAGAAAAACAACATAAATTGCTTAAAAACTTGTATAAACAGTTATCAACAATTATTTAAACTATCTAATTCAATGTCTTTTATAATTTTTATACTAAAATATAAGTAAATCTCAATTCATTTTCAAATGTTTTTGCAAAGTTGCAATGTCATGAGTAGAGACATCAAATTGACTTTGTTACTGAATTATCCGTCCAGTCGACTCGTGGTCGTCGTTGTGCGATGAGCTCTCGTTGTCGATGGCATATTCGGGGCGTGTCTGTACGCGACGTGTTTCCTCAATGCATCACGTGAGCGGGACACGTGACTACAAGCGCGACACGCGTGCCGTCTACCGGCGTGGGTCTCCATATGCACGCGTAGATTGTACTGATTGCTGAGACGTTTGTTGCATACTCCGCACACTGAAGTGTTGGACCGCCATTTACGCTCAAATGGTTCAAGTGATTCTGTAGACATTATTTCTCTTTATGGTAATAATAGACACACTTTAAACACGTACAATCAACTACATAAACATGTATGCATTATATATTTACAAAGCTTCAGAAACCTGTATAGTCCTTAGGTTTTAAAAATTAAAAATTGTAAGCACTTAGAAGTCCATTTGCCTAGAACCATTCAGACATTTTTGGATGACGTATCCAAGTTTCTAAAATATTGAAAATGTATACATATTTATCCAGCTGACTGTACATTTCTTGGCTTTTATTTTGGCACATTAAGAACAAGAGTACTCTTATTCCCGACGTGTCAACTCAAGGTTCGTCAAGGTACACAATAGCCTGAACATAAAAAATATGTTTTTAATGAGAAAGTATTGATTCGAGTTTATGCTATCAATGGCTTTAGTTCAATTCATACAATATATAATCTATTTACAGGGTGTTTATAAATTCACTTACCTGCCAAAATTGGATTTAATGGAGGAGCCATTGCTGTCATCGGATTCGTAATTTTATGCGTACTGTACAAATTCTGCACTATCTGATCCAGTTTACTTAGTCTGTCTTTTTCCGTTCTGCTGTATTCTCCAATGTATTCCGCTAATTTACCATCATTCTGGGAGTTCTCGTAATGGTTTGGTGAATTACTTGCCGAGTTATTTGTTGTGCTGCAATCTTGAATATCTTTTACGGATTCAAGGTTGGCGTAAGTACTGCTTTGTTCTGTGATAAGTTCTGACTCTTTTGAAGTTACAGTTGAGTTCTGGAACAAATGATATTGGTTCAATGAGACTAGCAATGTTCCTGAGAACATTTTCGACATCCTTAGTGATATATTTTTGCAGCCTCTTCCTTGCGTAATTTTTCAGATATTTTGAGATAAAGCGAGATATTGTATTTGAAAAAAGGGTCTCGATCGACAGACGTACGGACAACAAAGTGATCCTATAAGAGTTCTGTTTCTTTCTTTTCGAGATATGGAACCCTAAAAAGTGTTTCCCCGGAAATAATCTAGGTTAAAATGTGCAGTTTGTGCAAGGTAATTAAATAACATTAAAAAGTGTTTTTATATGGTTAAACTCACCGTGTTAGCATCAGTTAGGCCGGATACCTTAAGAGTTTGTGCCAGTCGGAGCAGTGAAGGTAAATTTTGCTTAGAAGCTGTTACTTCGCCGGTATACATGAAAGTAAGCAAGAGCCTCAGTTCTATCGCTTCGCAACCTAGTACTACTACCAATGTGTTGTTTTCAGATTCGATATCCTGAAACAAAAGAGATTTAGAAATAAAAGTGGAAAACAAAAGACGATAGTTCACTATACTCTACTAGTTAAGCTATGTCATTTGTTACCCAATGTTTGAGTGATTGTTCGTAAATATGCGATCCGCCATTTTGTGACGGAGGTCTGGATTCTTCATGGTGCACTGTATTCGATAGTAGAACTTGGTAAAATCCAATTTAAGAAACTACTAAATATTTAAAATGAATTGCTAAAAGTATTATAGTATATTTTTTTAATATTACTCTACGCGTCTATCTTTTCGGCCAACCATAAATTGTTTTTATTGCTACATTATATCTTGAGGATCTGGGACCACATCACATATAAATAAATCCATTATCACTTTTAGACTTTACAAACAGATGATATTACCATACGTACTTTGAACAACTGATCGAAATATTGACTACATGAGGCCAGTATAAGACGGTGGGCTTTCACTGAAGTGCCATTAGCACTTAGCGTCACGTCACTAAAGGCTCCACTGCTCAACACACGACCCAGGGCTCCGATTATACTGTTCTGTAATACAATACTATTAATAAATGTTTTAAATGTAGATATAATTTTTGTTAGTCACGTCCTTTTTTATCCGAGTGTATAAGGGGTTCGACGGGGTCCTTTGGGCCAGTCACTGGACATTTACAGCTATTAGGGACTCCAGATTTTCGCAAAATGGGCGTCAATTGTGGTTAATTTACCCCTGCTGTTAGTATATAGTGGTATTGTCATCAAAATAATGTATATTACGTTACGATTGTTTGATTTATTTTATCTACAGTGTTACTGTAAAGAATTGTTAAAATTATTTAAGCTATGGTTATTTTAAGGTTATTTTAGGATACATTAGATAATAGATTTATCAATGTATGCGACATTCATGAAATATTCTACAAGGTTTTTGTATTTATTAAGTCATTAAGGGCTTAATGGTTATCGTGTCCAATTATAAATCGAACCCAAGACCACGCAGATAAGATATTTGTTTACCTTTTATACGTTTTAACAAAAAAAAGAGTTCATAAGATGTCGTATAGATCCAAATGGGGTTTAGTTACAAAGTTTAAATGCGCGGTATTTTAATCTATTAAGGATAGAAAAGCTTGTAAGGAAATTACAAAAATAACGAGTATGTAAGGTAATCGATTTAGTACATGTTTCCATTGTATTTTAACTTATGACTTAGGAAGTAATTTTTTTTTTTGCTATGAGACAGGATTTTTTAAAAATCAAATAAAACACAAAATAAAAATTAAATTTAGTTGATACTTGTTTAATTTCATTATATAAAAGGTGTATTAGTTTAAAGCAGCTAATGTAATACATAAAATTGAAGACATTTCTATATAAAACTGTGAAGGTTGTATTTTACAGAAGAGTATTAAATGCATTCTGTACGATTAAGCGTTGTTAATGATAATTATGTTCGTATAATAGTAAAAGTGTACCTTTCTCTGTAGTGTATTTTAAGAAAAATCAATTACTTACCTACCTGATGGTTGTGCCAGCGTAAAGAAAACTGTTGACTTTCATCCTCATCCATATTTAAAAAAAAAACAATCGTAAAATATGCCGCGCTCGTTGATAACACTCACTGCGATCCGGATCGATGCCCGCGCCGTTAGCTAAGACAATAATATTGTTAACAGAATCCAGGCTGCTTTATTTCGGTCGGTACGCCTGGAAAACCTGTAGCCACCTATTTCTGGAGCTGATCTTATTTATAAATCCAATGACATTCAGTGACGCGCCACACATACCAAAAGTCATCCAAAAACAGATTTAGTTCGCTCGACACCGATGATTGGCATCATTGTTTAACTGTTTGCACCAGTTATCGATTGTTAAACCAATTGACGTCCGATTCAGTACTGCCCGAACGAAATGCTCTGACTTGCGTACGCCACGTGACCTACATTTTTATTAAAAAAACAACGGCCGTCATTTCAATTAAGCGGGAAAATTCAATTTCAATTTAATAACCTATTTATAAACTGTCATAATTAAATTCCATTACAATTGAATTTTCGAATATATTATTGTTTATTTTTTACTAATAGTAAAAGTAAACAATAAATAAAAAGATTTTAAAAGCAATGAGTCGGATAATTTGGCTCCACGCCTCAAAACGTGTGTCACAAAAAAACAGAAAAAAAAACAGAATTGGCGCCAAACAATTTGCTTTCCGCGATCGTATGCGATACGAAAACAAAAATGGACAAGCCGAATAAATTCACGCCATTTCAAAATAATCCTGATTTCTTTGATATTGTAATTTCTTCAATTGAAAAGGAGTTATCAAATATGAAGAAACTGGTAAACAGCATGAACCAAATGAGAGGTAACTATAATAATTTAAAAATAACGTATGTACGTAACGTACTGTCATATTGGATATTGTTGGTTATTGTCTTCGCCTGTCTTTTTGTATTGTGTGGGTAAACACGTTATTAGGTTATTTTTTATAACTTTACTAAAAAAATACAAATTATTTTTTAAAAATATTATAGGAGACTGATTTGAAGATTTAATTAAAGATAAGCTTGATTTTTCAATTAATAATAATTAATGTTATTGCAATCTTAACTATCATATTAATTATGGTTAATTTAGATGTTTTTTTTTCATTTTTCAGTAGAGTTGGCTTATATGGAGTGCGATTTATTAACAATCATTGATGTTCAAACTTGGCAGAATATCACGGAGTTCACAGGCGTAGAGTCGTGGAAAAATTAATATATTTTAGACTGACTGTTTAGAATAAAAATAATAACAAAATTAGTATGTTGTATTGTTTCAATAGTTGACCTAATTCGATACATCTATCAGTCCATTATGTTCTTATTAAATTCATCTTTTAAGTAAAAATCAATTTAATGAGATTATAAACTTTACATGACAAATGTTAAATCTATGTCATATTATTAAAAGAAGTCCCTTTAGACAAGGTTCTGAAGATACTGGCAGCGTTCCCCCTTTGAATAGCTATACTAATTCTTTGTCCGAGGTAGGTGCCAGCTCTTCTGTCCCCTGTGATGTCGATTAACTTTTTTGATACGTCCTTAAAAAGCCTTAAATCGCTAGGACCCCGCGGACCAAGGGTCTCGACGCCGAATGGATCATATTCGGAGCTTAGACCTTGATTCTTTTAAGTTAATTTAAAAGTTTCTTTTTAGGAATATTAAACGAGAAAATAACGTATTTTAATATAAGCAATTTGTATAATGTACTTTGGCCGTGACTTATCTACACTTGTCGGTAATTGACCCTACACGCTCCGCCGCTTAAATGAGGCTTTGCTAGGATTAGCTTGATTAATAAATGGACTATTGATGAAGCTTGCAAAGCCGATAATGATAATAAATATACTTATACTTATGTTAGTCACAAATCATTCGCAATATGATTGCACAAACATAAAATACCACGAGTGTCGTCGATATGAGCGTCTGTGCCTCAGGGGTCAAGCACTTGACTTGCAATCTGCAGGTCTTGGGTTCGAATCCCGCCATGTACCAATGTGTTTTTCGATATCCGATTTACATATGTACATTTATCCGACGTTCTAACGGTGAGCGAAGTTGCGTTGGAAATCTCAACAATTTTGTCACAACGAAAAACAAAAAAACTAAAGGTCTTTTAGAATATTTAATGATCTTTTAACGTCTCATAATTGTTTTGATTTAACTTTATACTGTAAATTAAAACAATACAATTTACGTAGAATCCATAAAATAAGTACTAATCCTAGACATAACAGCAGCGCTAGATCCAAATACATCTTCTGGTACCAGGGTACCAGGAGAGCTGGTGAACGAAGGTGCACGGCTCTTCTGGTGGCTATTACGTGTTCCACCCAATGAACCAGAACTTGACCTGGTGGTGCCAAACGATGGTGGTAGATAAAGGAAGTTTCTTTCATACGTTCTCGGTATCTGAGGAATAAATTAATTATTGCATTTAAAATTATGGATATATGCAACGCATCTGCAGTTCCTCTGGTGTTGCAGATGTCCATGGGTGTCGTTAGTCACCTCGGTGTTCCCGCCGTTCGTTTGTCCCCTTCTATTATAAAAAAAAATGGATTGCGTCTCTAACATTTTCCATCAATTGTAAACAAGGCGTCGTCAGCAAATGATCTAGGAGGCGCGATTAGAACTAAAAAAATTCGTATCACTATTCCAAAGAGAATTCCTATTTAATTGAGTACAATTTTATTTATGAAAAGACTAATAAGTAGTTTTCGATCTTAGTATTTAAATAAGTCATACGAAATAGGTCATATATCTATTTTACATTTCTTGATTCACAAGAGAAAAGTTGCATATGTGGGCCATGTCTTGCGACACGAAAAATATGAACTTCTTCAACTCATTATGATGGACAAAATCGCAGGCAGAAGATGAGTTGGAAGGAGGAGAAAGTCGTGGCTAAGAAACATCCGGGAATGGACCAATATTGCCAGCGTTGAACAACTTTTTCGCTTGGCACAGGACAGGAAAGGGTTCGCTGAGCTGACGGCCAACCTCCAGTAATGGAGAGGCAATGGAAGAAGAAGAAGAAGATTCACTAGGGAGGGGCAGCTATCTACTTCCTCATAGCGACGCTATGATGGTTGCCAGTGACTTACAAATTTCTTTCGCCTATTTCACTTTCATATATCTACGTGTACACAATTTTAATACCTCAATTCTTTAGTATATCTATTAGTAATACTTACATGGGATTATTTAGGATTTCATGTATAGCAACCTTTAGGTTGTCAGCTAAATTATCAGTGAGATCAACCTTGACTCCAATTCCTTTACTAACGGATTTGTCAGCATTGTACAAATGATCGTAAAACACGGGTATTGAAATAAGCGGTACTCCGAAATGTATAGCTTCGTTCATTGATAGTAGACCGCCATGGCTAATCAATAGAATGCAGTTTGGATGAGCTGGAATTTAAGAAAGACAATAATCACATGGCAGAACACAATTTTAATTCCTATTGTTACTTCTTAATAGTAATATAAATGCGAATGGATGGATGTATGTAAGAATATTTGTTAGGTATCTACAGAACTGTTTCGTGGATTTCGCTGAACTTTGGCACACATGTAGGTCATATTCTGGATGAATACATATGTAATTATTTTTTTTAATTCCGTGCGGAAGGAGTTGCGGGCGACATCTAGTGTTTTTTGAGAGCGATGAGATGTTTTTTTAAATTTCTTAACACTGTTAAATACATCCCATGTTACTGAGTGGTGTCTTAACATCTTATTTATCATAGTTTTTTTTTTAAAAATAGGTTCCGTAGTTTTTGATACAAACATACAGAATCTTTCCCCATATGATATTAGTGTTGAATAAATCAGCGCTTTAATTGTTAATTTTTTTTGAGGTTAGATAAAATATATTTACCTAAAATACTTAATTGCGGTGCCCATTGTAAAATATGGACATTTTTAGGTATATTAGGTATTGGTTCTTCAAACTTCCATATTATGGTTTGGTTCAAGCGACTAAACATTTTCAATAATGCTTGTTTTATTGAATCTGGAAGATCTTTGCATTTCAAATTTGATCCCATACTGAAGTATATGACTCCATTTGTTGCTTCGTCCATGATTTTTTTCAAATCCTACACGTTAACAAAATGTTACAGGTAAAAAACAGACGAATTGAGAACCCCCTTATTTTTGAAGTCGGTTAAATATACAGTGCAAAAAAATATATAAATAAATTAAATTTGTTTTTAAGAAATTAATATTTTTTTATTAGTTAATTTTTTTGCAAATTTTTTTTGTATGGTTGGAAAAATAAGAACAAGTCGAAAGGTAAATTTATAGGTAAATCCATCCAACTTTTTATAATTATAAAAGAGAAATTCTGCAAGATTAAGGCACAAGTGATATCAGGTAGGGTTGTCACAAACTTACTTTAGGCAATGTCGGTACAACTTCATCGATATGTTGACCACCGATAGGTATATAGTTCTGTGGCAACCTTATTGCCTGACCCATAGATACGTGATAATTGCCAAAGATCAGAGAAGCGTTGAGACGTAACTCTTCGTAATGTGGTAAAGTTCTGTTCTTCCTTCTTAATATTGGTTTGAAAGTGTAATCGAATACTTCCTTCTCTATGTGTCGATGGTAGCTAGAATGAAAAATAAATAATGGCCGTCATATTTTTTACAAAAAAAAAAATTACATTCCATTTTTTGGCTGTTTGCACATGTCACATCGTTGATCTCGATTTATGAATAATTGTTTTTTTTTAAATTAAAATATTAGCAGATTTTTTTGTAAATTTACTAATATTTCTTTTACCATTCCAACTAAGCTCTATGCTTGTGCTTGGACATGGTTTACGAAAATAGTCGAATGGTGGGATTCGAACTCTCGACCACGTCATCGGAAATCCGTACCCTTAACCTAGCTATTGGCCTTTTTTGCTTCGACGTAGTACTTTTATAGATAATGAAAATTGAAATATTATTGAGTAATAATATTAAAATAACTTACAAGTAATTATTCCATATCTTCCAAGTCTGGAATTTCAGTAGTTGCAAGCGCTGCCAAAAGGTGAAAGGTGGTATATCTCTCATTTCGATATTTGCTGTATAAGATGGGTTGGTTACCTCATCGATCAGAGCCAAAGAGATATAGCTAGGTTCGTAAGGGAAGAACCAAATGTAGGGACAATTAAATGCAGCTGCTATTCTGAAATGATTTTAAATATCAAACAAGGGTTTATTAGTTTTTAAAAGTTATCAAGTACGATATTTTTTTTTGTTAACTTCGGAAATTTCAAATATAGTCGAACATGGAAAAGCGAGAGACCAACGGATATTTTTTTCGCTTATAGAGATTTCTCACTAACCCGAGTTTCTCGCTTATTGAGGTCGTCTTATGGGACGGGGCATTGACTCTCGCGTATAGGTTTCTCGCTTATCCAAGGGATTAGACAAAGTGCATTCGCTTCGATTCCATAACGAACATAAAAAATGTCTACTGATAATAACCTTCGATAAATCACGTGATTGTCGCGCGTCAGTTCCTTCGAAGTGAATACACTTTTCTAACGCCGCTGGTTCGACTCGGCCTTTATTTCGTTTATTTTGTTTTGATCTTGGATTAAATTGAATATATTAATATTTACCCGCTAGACACTTCGTTGAACGTCCACTGAGTTAACACCAAGTCAAATTTCTCATTTGGATCATTAAGTAGGTATAATACGTTTTTATTCTTTAAAGTATTCTTCGTAAGGTTCATCATCATATCGAAGATGTTGTCTTGATCCATTTGTATGTTTCTAGACATTAGAAGTTTTAGATTTATCAATCTAACTAAAATATAAAATTAATGTTTTTTTTAAATTATTAATACATAGAAAAAATTAATAAAACAAATTGTAGAAAGGGGACATAAACGTCGACATTTTAGTAAGGATAGTTTTTTTATAATCATAAGGAGGCAAACGAGCGAGCGGCCACTTGATATCGCTGAAATAGCAAAGTGACCGTTGCCCATAGACATATGCAATTGCATATGCGTTGCCTACCTTTAATCGCCGGAGGAGAGGATGCACAGAAAGAAAATATTTTCCCTTCCCATGCATCCTCTCATCCGGAAAGTCCACTTCCACTTCCCATCCTTTCCCTATAAGAAAAAAGGGTGGGAAGCAACTGAGCTAGTACACCGGTACATTAGGTACCTATTAGATATACTATTTAATTTTTTTATATAATAGTAAATTGATATGAACATACCATTAAGATGTCCGATATTGTCAACGACGGATATGTATCGTAGATTTGGAATAGTTTTGTTTTTAGGAAATGGTGTTATGTAGGTTACCTGAAATAGTTAATTTCATTTAAAAGGTATTAGTAATGATTAAATTAATCTAACAATATTATAAATGCGAAAGTTTAGATCAGTGGTTCCCAAACTTATTTAGTCTACTTTGAGAATAAATATTTTTTTAGCGCCTCCATATTTTCACATATTTAAAAACCACTATAACTTCAAAATAAAAATAATTAATTATTGTGACCTATATATGTATATTAACGGAGAATTCTAAACGAAACTTTTACTATAACCCGCAACATGAGGCGCCCACAAGGGGGCGTTATCGCCCACTTTGGGAAAGACTGGTTTAGATGAATGGATGACTGTTTACTAGAAGATATCTCCAGTACGGCTGCATGGATCTTGCTAAGATTTGGCATTGATGTTGAGCGTAGTTTAAAAGAACACATAGGCTACTAATTATGTTTTTAATTTCGCGGGAACGCAGACGCAGGCAACAGCTAGTATTAAATATATTTGACCTTCAGTTCTTAGTCAGGTTTATCATTAAAGTTTTTATTCGAATATTATTAAAATATGATATTAAATTTTGAATAATAAATAAATGAAATTCATACCTCGTGTCCAGCTTTGAGCAAATGATTGACTACTCCATTCCCGAGTATCTCATGGCTGCCTGCAGGGATTGGGAACACGGCAAGGATCTTGTACCCTCCACATTGTATACCAAATAGTATAAGACAAATATAAGGTAATATAAATTTGTATGAAAACTTCATTATTTAATTTAACATTCAGTATCAGAAATTATCTTTTAATCCATCGAATTACAAACTGAAAAAAGTATAGTTAGAAAAGAAATTCTTAAAGAGACTGCTATCAAAAACATTTATTTTGAACTGAACCCGTACTTAAATAATTTTTAACAACGTGCGTTTACTCGTTGTGAAATATAATGTTGAATGAAACAATACGACTAAAGACAAAGGATATTTATAATCAAAGATATCTTTTGCTTCAAACGTTTTAAATATGTACATTTATAATTAATAGAAAGTTAAGTATTTACGGTTAGGTGTATTTGACAATTTTTCTTTTAAATAATGCCGATACTTTCGCTTTACGCAATCGAATTGTTACAGGATTGCACACAGTTGCGAAAGTGTGGCGAAACACGAAAACGAAGCGAAAATAGAACGTTCACGTGACATTAAATTTGTTTTTCTGAGGATCGATTACGAATATTTGCTATATGCGTTTTCGTAAGGTTATCGACAAAGTGAGATTTGTCTTTGTACTTTGCATCCAATGTGCAAATGTGATATAAAGGTCGATGACGTTATGAATACTTTTTCACAATTTTCGTGCTAGATCCTCAGTTTTACGTGTTCAATTGTTCGCTGGAACAAATCATCTTCAAGGCACTTTCATATAAATGCTAAAGAACTAATTATTTGAAAATAACAAAATTGTTATTTTATAACTATCCTAATTGTGAGCGTAGTTGCAATCTGCAGGTCCTGGGTTCGAATCCCGCCATGTACCAATGTGTTTTTCGATTTCCGATTTACATATGTACATTTATCCGACGTTCTTACGGTGAAGGAAAACATCGTGATGCAACCTGCACATATCTGAGAAGAAATTCAAAGATATGTGTGAAGTCAACCAACCCGCACTTGGCCAGCGTGGTTGACTATGGCCAAATCACCCTTAACTTAAGGTAGGCTCCGAGCCCCTCGGTTAGGACGTATAGTGAGTTGATGAAGATGATGATAACCTATACTAATTCCATTAAATTGTCTTCTTTTTCATTTTACCTATCTCTGAAATTAACAGTAATTAACTTTCATCCTATCAGTTTTAGTATAAATTATGAATTTAGGTTAATGAAAATGTTATTCACTATCATATCGGTATATACATATCATTAAAATAAGTTTTATTTGTTTATTTACTTACGTTTCAATGACTTCATTTGAGGTTAGACTTTTTTGTGTTACAACGACAATTTAAATTACTACAGTATTTTGAATAATCTACATTTTATTATCTTATTTGTTTTATTAAGAGTGTTTTTTTCTTAATAACCGCATTTAATAGCTGCATAAAGCCGGCTACACACATTCAGTTCAACAACACATTCCAACAGTCCGACGGTCTTCTATAGGTCTGTAGCTGGCTTTATACAAACGACGTAAGAATATTAGTTATATCCGTTTTAAAAAGATTAAAATAACAAATATGTTACAATATAAAGATTCCTTTTTTTTCTTATCCAGGCCTAAATCTAAACTAATATAAAATGATTGTAATCCGAGTTCAGCCATTTACCGAATGCCGGCGTTGTTCAGCGCCCTAGAGAGTTACAGCATTCATATCGCATCTCTTTGGTTAGATTGTACGTACAGAGACTACACACTGCTCAAAAGAATGTCGAACATTCCTAACACCATTTGTTCTTGAAAAAAAAGTTTTTTTGAAAATAGAAAGAGTTTGTAACATGTAAAAGGTTCCTCGGGTAAAAAAATGCCTTTAATTACTTATAGATGCGTTGTTAATAGACAGAGAAAAGGATAGCCAGATTATTTTTTAAATTATAGGGTGTCAAACAAGCAAGCGAACTCTGCATGGACATCCAAAATTGAAGATGCGTTGCCTATCTTTAGTCGACTGACAAGAAGACGCACAGAATAAGAAAATATCTCCTTGTGAATAACCAAACCTATAATTACCTGATTATTATACAGTATGTCCTAAAATAATTTAGTTAATATAAATGCTAATTAAAAAAACTGATAACATTTTATTCGTCTGTGTCTTTTAACTTTTATCTGTTTGGCTGGAATTTTGAAAACAATATTAATAATATGTAACTAGAATAGAACATTGTTTTTAATTCGATGATATTTTTTTGTGATAATTTTTTACTAAAATATATTTCATAGCTGTCAACCCTGACTCCTTCCGCGTGGAATAAAAAAAAAACTAATTAGTAGACTATGTGTTCATCCAGACTATGTTCTACATCTATGCTAAATTTAAGCGATATCTATGCAGCCGTTCTGGAGATACCTTCAAAGAAACATTCAAACATAGTAAAATTACGTTGGTCATTCTTTATGTCTATGTGTCGCAGTAAATACTCAAAGATAAGTAGAAAGAAAGAAATTGAAGTAATATCGCAGTAGTTGCTTGTTTGTGGATAAACATTAACTGCGCTACACAATTTCCGAGATGAGTTGCGCACTTTCAAGTATTTTTGCTTCATTTATTAAGAAATTGTACAATTTACTATATTTCTTATAACAATTGTATTTTATAAAAACAAAAGCTGTCGCCTTCGACTCTGTCTGCACGGAATTAAAGAAAAACTTAATAAGTAACCTATATGTTCTTCCAGTATATGTTCTACATCTATGTCAAATATCAGCGATATCTGTTAAGCCGTTCCGGAGATACTTTCAAATAAACATCCATCCATCCATCTAAACATTCGCATTTATGTTAGTAAGATTTCTACATTTTAAGCAAAAAAAAAAATTAATTGATTTAATTGAAGGAGTAGATCTTACTAATATTATAAATGCGATTTTTGGTTAGAAGGTTTCTCCAGAACGGCTGCATGGATCTCACTAAAATTTGGCATATATATAGAACATAGCCCGGAATACATAGCTTACTTATTATGTTTTTTTTTTTAATTCGTCGCGAATGGAACAGCAGCGAGAGCTAGTGTATAAATGTACTATGTATATAGGGAGGGAAAATATTTGAATGACGTCACAATATGGCGTACAGTTCAAAGACATTTTTATTATAACATGTAATAGTTTACGTCGTAATATAATTTTCGAGTCAAACACATTATAAATAGACAAAGAACTTTAAATTTTCCTTGTGAAAGTTCATTCCGCAGTAATGTGGAATTTGTCGTGACTCCACAATGAATAGTGCCCGTTATGTAATTGATGTAGCAAACTTCCCGGCAATTTTATGATAGTGCCTTTGTGTAATTTAATAGTGCTCATGTTAAAAATATTATTATTATTTTATATAGTTTGTGGAATGTTTTATAATAATAAAATCGATCCACAATCGTACAGTGAGCGTCGGTGGCTCAGGGGTCAAGCACTTGACTTGCAATCTGCAGGTCCTGAGTTTTAATCCCGCCATGTACCAATGTGTTTTTCCATTTCCGATTTACATATGTACATTTATCCGACGTTCTTACGGTGAAGGAAAACATCGTGATAATCTGCACGTATCTGAGAAGAAATTCAAAGATAAGTGTGAAGTCAACCAACCCGCAATTGGCCAGCGTGGTTGACTATGGACTTATCACCCTTAACTTAGGGTAGGCTCCGAGCCCCTCGGTGGAGACGTATAATGAGCTGATGATGACAATCGCACATTTATATTATCTATTTTAATTTATTTTGTTTTTCTTTTCATTTACTTAAATTTTGTTTTATAAATGTTTACCGGAGTAAGTGATAATTGTTAAATGCTAAAATATCGTGAGTGTGGGTTTTTGTAATTTTGTGGACAGAATATTGTATACATATTTCAATATAAGTGCCCACGATATTTTTATGTTAGTATAAGGTTATTGTTTTTGGTAAAAATTTTATTACCTGTAATTAAAAAAAATTATTTCTTTCAGATGCGAGACGTTTCCCATCATTGAGATTCAAAGAGACGTGGGTCTATATAATTTCAATTACAATGTTGTTAGACCGGTTTTATGACACTGAAAACTCACCGTAGCAATCCTAAAACTGATATCAGAGCATTTTTCAGCTTCACACCTTTTTCAACTGTTCAGTAAAAACTGAGCGTATGTAGCAAGCCTATAGGAGTATGCAGTAATTAAGTTTTCTCATATTAGAAAAACAGCTAAACAGATGTTAAGGCTCTTTTGTAACCCAAAGAGTTTATGGCCTGCCAATCATATTAAAAATAAAAATGTAAAATGTATTTAATTTGAAGAAGAATTTTTACTTTGTCATATTGAATTGGCCAGCGCTTGACCACTAGCCCTAGTGATGTTCATCTTAAAACGTCTTCTACTTATTTAACTAAGGTTAGTAAGTCTTTGAGTAAAGTCTTAAAATACGTTCAAGGATTGCTCTACCTTCTTATATTAAAGTATAAAAGTGTTAAGAGCTTATCCTTTAAACGATAAAAGATTAAAGAAGGTAAATCCAATAATAATCGAGCTCTCAAGAGTGGGGGTGAGTTGGCTTAGGGATCTCAATATTTTTATTTGCTTAGGACCTCAATTTGCCAAGTTTTATCGAAGCATCTAAGTGGGGTTAGAAATCAAATAGATGATATTGAATTCTTATAATCGTAGTAAATAAATAAATACTTAACATATTTTGACCGTGAAACTTGAATGCAGTACTTAGACATATCGAAATACGTTTATGAATCATATTTTAATTTATATTTTGGTTAATAAAGTTGGTAGAGCCCGCTTTATCATCTTCGCACGCATTTGGCCCGGCTCGCCATGTGAAATACCACGACCACACAGAAGACAGGCGTCAAGTGGAAGCAATTCCGTGTTTCGTCTGATGAGTGTGCGTTCCGGAGGCCTAATTTAGTCCTCTTTCCCTTCCCATCCTTTTTCTTATAAGCAAAGGATGGGAAGTGGAAGTGGACTTTCCGGCTGAGAGGATGCATGGGAAGGGAAAATATTTTCTTTCTCTGCATCCTCTCCTCCGTCGGTAAAAAGTAGGCAACGCATATGCAATTGGGTATGTCTATGGGCAACGGTTACTTCGCTATTTCAGCGATTTCTGGTGGCCACTCGCTCGTTTGCCACTTTATGATATAAAAAACAATGAAAAAGTACGATTCATTGGTTTTTACGCTAATGACTTTATGTTTTATTATATTTTGG